GCATTGGTAGCTGTAATAGCAATGGACATCTGCTCTTGAGGACATGTGCAACAAATGATCTCCTGATAACTAATACCGTGTTCCGCCTGTCCAAACATAACAGAACAACTTGGATGCACCCTCGCTCAAAGCACTGGCATCTAATTGACTATATAATAGTCCGTAGGAAAGACTGACAGGATGTCCGTGTAACCAAGACTATGTGTGGCGCTGACTGCTGGACGGACCACAGACTGCTCATCTCAAAGATGAACCTTAGGATTCGGCCCCCCAGACATCCACAAGGCATTATGGTCCCAAAGCGCCTAAACGTCTCCAGACTGAAAGATAGCGTCATCCAACAATCACTTGCTGACGCCCTGGCATTTAAGCTGGAAACCACTGGAACTGACGCTGATATAGAGCCCAGCTGGTGCACCTTTCAAACAGCTGGTTTACTCCACTGCCTCCAAGTTAATTGGCATCACCACAAGAAAGCACCAGGATTGGTTCGACCAAAACTGTGGAGAAATCAAGGCATTGCTGGATGAAAAACATCGTCTCCATCGTGCCTACAGCAGCGACCCTAAGTCCGTAGCAAAAAAAGTTGCCTTCACCAAGATAAGTCAGACTGTACAGATGAAGCTACATGAGATGCAGGACACATGGCTGAGCCAGAAAGCCGATGAGATCCAGGCCTTTGCCGAGAGACACGATATGAAGAACTTCTACAATGCTCTTCAGGCTGTGTATGGCCCAGTCACATCTCTTGAGCGCAGATGGTAGTACTTTGCTCACTGATAAGGAGAAGATCCTTAATCGCTGGGCAGAGCACTTTGCTGATGTCCTTAACAGGCCCTCTTCTATCAACGAGGAGGCAATAAACCGCCTACCTCAGGTGGAGATCAACGAAAGATCCTCCAACTGTACTGGAAACTCAAAAGGCCACTGAATTGCTCTCCAACAGTAAAGTTCCTGGAGCTGATTCTATTCCAGCTGAAATTTATAAGTCTGGTGGCCCCAAGTTAATTAAGAGGCTTACTGAAATGTTCTGTGAGATGTGGAAACAGAAACGCGTTCCGCAAGACTTCAAAGATGCGTCTATTATTCATCTATACAAACGCAAGGGAAATCGCCACTCGTGACAGCTACAGAGGAATCACTCTGCTCTGTGTTGCAGGAAAGGTCCTCGCCAGAATACTTTTAAGCAGACTCACACAGCACCTTGACCAAGGTCTCTTGCCGGAAAGTCAGTGTGGCTTCAGGAAAGGACGAGGTACTACTGACATATTTGCCGCCAGACAACTACAAGAAAAGTGTCAAGAACAGAATGTCCAGCTCTACACTGTCTTTGTGGATCTAACTAAAGCATTTGACTCTGTCAGTCGTGAGGGCCTCTGGAAGATTATGGCCAAATTTGGATGCCCAGATACCTTCATTGAAATGGTGAAGCAGTTCCATGACGGCATGCTTGCCAGAGTCCAAGATCATGGCAATTATTCAGAGCCATTCGCAGTTACAAACGGTGTGAAACAGGGATGCGTCCTGGCCCCCAGTCTCTTCAGCCTTATGTTCTCTGCTGTGCTGATTGATGCCTTTAGAGAAAATAATGTCGGGATCGATTTGCGCTACCGTTTTGATGGAAGGCTATTTAACTTGAGGAGGCTTCAGAACAGAACCAAGGTCCAGGTCGAGACCATTCGTGACTCCTACTAGTAGCCTAACAACTGGCAGGAAATCTTCACTAGGGAGTATACATTGGAATAATTATGTCACTGTAGCTATGCTGGCATAAGCCGGTAGCAGAGACCCAGCCTACATCAATGAAAGGGAGTTTCTGTCCATGTAAGAACACCAGTTTTCTGAACCACAAAAACAACAAAAACGATGTTGACAGAACTACTCTTCTGTTGACATAACAGAATTTATAATGGGGGTTTGGCCTGTTTAGTCACAGCAGTCAGGGATTCCTCTCCCCCCCATACTTCTGACCAATGAAGCTATGTCAACATTAGTTTTCAGTGTAAGCCAGGCCTCAATCTCACAAGTGGATAAGGAAAAACAAGGGCATTACCAGAAGACAAGTCATACCTCCTCAAATTAAACTGTGAAATTGAACTGGAGAATGTGTGTGTATCATTAATCATTTTATAAAATTGGCCATAGCATTAAAAATGTGCAGTACAACAAAATAGTAACTATACCAGAAGGGTAAATACTCAATTTTTACAAAAATATATCAATACTTCTAGTCTTAAAGCAATATTGTAGTTAGGTGTAGTTCTTGTACAACACCTAATCTAAATAATGTCCAATGTTTCATAATTAAGTTCTTTTATTTTTAAACGTTTTCATTCCTTAAACTGCTATGCAAAAGATCCACACAAACAATATGGAAAAACACCTATGTGTTAGATGCAGTAAATATAAAGCTGCCAAATGAACAAAAATATTTTTAATTTAGTCTTTCGTAAGAAATATCTTCAGACACGTGCAGTTTTTAAGAGGACAATCTTTTAACTTCCAAAAGTATTTTAAGAGCATCCATTAAGTTCAAACATCAACTAAATGTGGCTTACCATATTTCTGTGGTGATTTTCCAAGGCTACTTGCCAGTAATAAACTTGCGTCTTTTCCTGTTCCTTTGGTTCCACAGCCATTACATATTGGGATAGATATGGGTGCAGTCTGAGTACTGGGAGGAGGAATATTTGGCCAGATTTTAGCAGCTTCAATTAAGCTATTTCTGGTTGGCTGTTGGAGCAATTTTTTCCAAAACACCAATTAGTTCAATATACAAGATTATGCATTAATTTAATCTAAAACATGATATATTAATTTTTATTCTTCATGCCAATGACAAAACAACCTTCCAATGGACTGAGAGAGTAGATCTTAATTTGAAAACTAATCCACAGTAATATTAGCTCACTGAATGAAGTACATTCTTTGTACAGATTTTCTTCCTTTATATATTCAGATCTAACTATATATTCAGATCTAACTTTCAAAAAGTAGAGCTGAGTAGGTGCCCTTCTCAGCATCTTAAGGGAGGCACCTGCCCTCTGGCAAAGAAAACAAATGCAAGGGTGATGCTTTCTGGTTAACCAGTCACATCCCTGGTGTGAACATCCTAGCAGCACTTGGTGAGTCATGGTATTCCGGGGAAAGAATGTGTTTGGTTCCCTTAATTCCCTAACAGGTACCTAAGCCGTGCATAGCTGGGCTTCTCCAGTCCTTGACAAGGGTACCCGTGAAGCCCCCTGTCTCTGAAAAGATGAGTTCAGGACTATTGCTATTTTTCAGAGTCATTTTTTCCTTTTGTGTTTCTCTCTCAGCTGAGTCTCCTGCAGTTAATGACACACATGGATTTTTCCCCTTAACTTAGGAGAAGGAAAGGGGAGCAGAGTGGGAATAGATGAAGGGACAGAGATTCTTGCCGTGTCTCTATTTTTTAATCTTTTCACCTTTGTTCTTTTTCTGTCTGGTTGATGCCACCACCTTTACAGCTCTACGTTACAGAGGCTCAACCTAAATTCACCGTAGCAGTTCTTTGCACAGGTTCAGTTCTGATTCTCCTCCAGCACCTAGGGTCACTCTGGATATTGGGCAGTGTGGCTCCCTGTCATCAGATGGAGGTGGAAATTCAGCGCACTTTGTGAAGCCAGTCCTTAGCCGCTCTAGCCGAAAATTCGGTTGATTTCTGGCTTCAGGCAGGTGGAACAGCTTCTTTGGTTAAGGGAAGCTTCTTGGCTAAATCTGAACTACAGTTGGGTTTAGGTTCATTTTTTCCCTCTGCTTTCACTTGCCCCGGGCGTTGTCTCCAAAGCTGTATTCGCTGATGGGGGAAGTCAGTACCCACGTGCTGCGTAAGTGCTGCAGTACACCATTCGGGGCACTTGGTGGCACGATTTGTTCACTTTCCCTGGAGCTTGGAAGAGGAGCCGCTCGAATGGCGAAGGCTATTTTCTATGCACATCGTGGGTAGTGAGAATGACTGTGAAATGCTTTAGAGATGATGCAGTGGCGTGAGTTCTCAGACTGTGGTCAGTGGAACTCTTTGGTAGTGCTGCTTACCTGCTGCTTTCGTTTCCAGCTTCGAATTCATGCCAGGAACTGAAAATACACTTAGCGTTTTCCTAACACTTCCTTTTCCCTGCGCAGTCACTGCCATCGCCATTGCAAATGGAGTCTGAGTGTTCATATTGAAAGGTTCCCTGGTGTGAAGAGTTTGTGAACTCTTGCTCGGAGGTGACAGTTGGCCAGTCCAGAGTACTGGTAAAAACGCACGGCCAGTGTAGCCCCGCACCGGCTGGGTGTGGTTCCTTGTTCCATGCAGTGGCATTGAGACCAGTACAAGCAGACTCAACGTTCTCTCTACAGCCTTAGCGAAGAGCCCGCTGGCTTTTAGCTCAAGCTGTAGCGGCTCCTGCACTGAGCTCCAGAGGTCTCAGGTTCAGTTCTGCATGTGTGTGTTACACTAGGACCAGCCCGTTCACGGCTCCCATGGGAGAGCTGCTGTAGCAGAACTTTAGCATTGCTCCCCCAGGGCCACTGATGGATGAAGCAAAGCGGGGAGCTGCCTTTGGACCCGGTGATTTAAAAGTGCTGAAGGGCTGGCTATGGGGGAACTAGCCCCTAGTCCTGCCTCTTCCACCCAAGGCCCTGCCCTTTCTGGGGACTCAGTCTCCCTCCTATCTTGCTCAGGGCCTGGCAAAGGAGCCTTCCGGCAGGACCAGCAACGTGGGGACGACGACACAAGGGGATAGCTGCTCTGGGGCCTGACAAGCAGGTTCTGTAAGCCCCAGGCCCTTCAGATGGCAGCCATGACCCTGGGAATGCAGCCTCAGGGCTCCTGGATCCTGTGGCAGTGGCAGCCATAAAGGGCTGGTTGGGGGAATCTCTCCGCCCCTTCCAGAGACCCAAAGCCCACCCCCCACTTAGCCAGGGACACCCCCTCCTCACCCCCCTCCTGGCCCAGGAGATACTTTCACCCCTGTTCCTGCTGGGGAGGATCAAACCTTCCAATCATAACAGATCCTTTCATTCCTGAGCGGGCTATACTTGGAGAGGAACCCTTTAGCTATAGCTACGTACAGGGAGATCTCAGCAGCCGTTCTGAACCAGCCAGACTGCACAGCAGACTTTTGGTTTTCCAGGCCCAGAAGTGAAAATTAATTTCTGGCTGACCGTTGTACCTGGGAACTTGGGACAGTGGAGTGGAATTTAGCCAAGGTTATGGGCAACTTCTGCTCTTTGTTGGAGGGAAAGGATCACGTGTACAGCAGTGTGGGATGGAGACAGCACATGGAGATTTGACTACACATGAAGTCTCGCAGTCGGGGCAAAACTAAACAGCGGAAATATGAGTAAAGGGAGACACAAGCAGCAAACCACTTTGTGCTAAAGCAAATGCATGTTCAACACATTAGTACTGCCCTGGCTATTTTTTGATGTAAACAAGCACTGTAGTTATTGCAGAGGCAGTGTGAGATTGGGAGGAAGGTTCCTACCTACTGGGGACGGTCTCTTTTAAGAAGTGCCTGGAATGAGCACGTCTGAGAGCTTTGTGACCAGCTTCAGCTCAGTGGAGCCGAGGCACTGGGCGCTTATACATGAGCTGACTTCTTCCTGGCTGAAGTTCAGTTTGTTTTCAGTTTATGCGAACAAGTTCATCAGCCATCTGATTGACTGGCACACCCAGATTTCACTTGGGATCATGGCTCAGATATGCTTCACAGTATATTGTAAACATTATTTAACTGTATCGTTTTGCTGATAACTTAAAGAAGCCCGACCCACGTCCCCTCAGCAGTGGTTAATGAAACGTATTAACCAAACATTATTCATGAGAGATTGTGCAAATTGCACTTGGCTTCCATTCAGGGACGCACGATTCGCAAGCTGTGCTATCCTGGATTAGAGGGGCAGTGGGTTCAAGTGGATTGAATTTGGGGAGGAGTGGGGAGCCAGGAACTTGAAATCTAATCCTAGCTCTGCTACTGACTTGGCAAGTTTCCCTATCTCTAAAATGAGGATATTGCGAGGAGTATCAGTATCTAGATTTTCATAGTGCTATACACAGTGCAGAGTGCAGTCATCAGTTCTGCAGGCCTAGTGGCCTCCTGCCTCCAGTGAGGGCAAGAGAGGGAAAGCGATAGACTGCTCTTGGGGAGATCAGTGTTACCCCGTATACACGAAGGTTCGCTGTCTGAGAGAGGGTGGCACTGCTTGGCTGCTGTTCAGAGTGGGGTCAGGCCCGCTAACCCGGTCCTCTGCTTGGCTGCTGTACAGAGTGGGGGTCAGGCCCGCTAATCTGGTCCCCTCTTCTTTGCAGTAAGCACAAGCTATCCACAGAAGAAGAGCTGCTGGGGAAGCGGCAGCGATGCCTGGAACAGATAGAATCTCCCCCCCCAGATCTGACCAGTCCCAGCCACCACACTTCTCTTGAAAGGCAGAGCTCCACTGAAGCAGGCTGGGAATGCAGCAAGGACGATACGAGTGTAGAGGGAAGGACAGATTCCCGCCTGCTCATAGAACATCTGGAGGCCCTGAGTGACACCAGCCCAGCTGGGCGTGCTTCACACATTGGGGAACTCGGTCCTACCAAAGAGACTCCCGCAAGTCACAGTCACTTGGAAGAAGAGCAAAAAGAGACTGCCCTGGTCCAGGTGGAACTGGAGGAGCAAATGCCGGCCCTAATAGCAGAAAGCCAGGCAGCAGATAAGAGTGTCTGTGTAAATACATGTGGGAACCTAGAGGAAGTAAACAAGAGGCCCTTTGTGGCTGTTGTTGGTATTTCAAAGGCTGCTGTGGATGGTGAGGCTCCCATTCAGCTAATCCCCTTTGCGTGGGAGGAGAGACTTGATAAAGCAAAGGCTGAGGAGAAGGCCCGAAGCCAGGCGGATCCTCCACCTGGCAAAGGAGGAGGAGACTTGCAGGTCCCAAAGACCATGGATCAGAGGAACATGGTAGAGCAGGAGGAGCTAAGACGAACGGTGGAGAATATCTTGGTGGAGCTGAGGAGCATCTCCGCAGAACGGGATTTGCTCCTGCGGAAGGTAAGATTAGCACCTGACTCTGAATTTCAGAAGACGGGGTAAAGTTCTATGACCATAAGGGATGGAAGGGGGTGCTCAGAACTGTGTTAACCAGGAGAGAGTATCCTCTTGCCTTATCTGTCATGTACAACAGGTAGGGGTTAGAATTCCTTCCTTACTCTACTAGCCATTAGCTTGTTCCTTAGCCACTGGAAAGTACCCCCCCCCCTTTTTTTCTTTTAATGTGTGACCTCACTTCCTGTGCATGCCCTGTATTTGCTGTTTCTTTAACCCAGATGGAAGAACTAGAACAGGAGAAGTGCCACCTGGAGACCGATTTCTTGAAAAGCCAACAGGAAGTGGCAACGCTCAGGGCCCAGGAGACTGAAGGCTTGTACTGGAGCAAGAAACACATGGGCTACCGCCAGGCAGAACTGCAAGAGCTGAAGGCTCAGCTGGAGAGGACCATAGAGGAAAAGACCGAGCTGAAGGAGAGGCTCAAGGAGACAGAGCTGCACCTGGAGGTGCTTAGGGAGACACACGTCTCCTGCAGGAGCCCAGAGAGAGGAGACTTGAAAAGGTCAGAACTGTGGGTTAACCCATCAATAATATCAGCCACTCCCAAGCGGGGGAGGAAAATATAAGTTATCTCGTGGGAGACTTCCACATCGGAAACCACCTTCTGGGAGAGCACGTTGGTACCCATGCACTGAAATGCTTTATGAGTAACAGTGGGTTTTACTAAGGATTGTTAGGTTGTGAAGAGGCGGGGGGCAATAGAGGGCTATAGTAGAAGACAGATAACTACAAGATTTACCCCCTCCCCCCACCACACACACACACTTCCTTTGCCAGGGCTGGGTTCTCTACTGTAGTACCCTCCATGGTTCTTTCTATGGAGTATTCCCTGTGCATCATTTAGACAATATTGGCTTCCTTAAAGAAAAGAAAATGTGTGGGGGGGGGGCAAAAATTGTCTGTGGATACTGAACTCTCCCACAAGCATGGGACTGTCTGCATCCAGGACGTGTGTTTAACCCTGCTTCTGGCCTGACAGCACTTAATAGAATCATAAGGAACAAGTGTGACCATTGAGCTATGGAACCCTCAATTAGATTTACAAGTATAGTTCCTCCCTATGGTAAGTATTATTCCCCCCGTTCCAGAGAAGTAAACTGCTGTATTGAGAGGCAAAGTGATTTACACAGTGTCACAGGAGAAACTCACAAGAGTTGACCTGAGTTACATTCCCCTATTTCCAATCCTGTGTGTGGGCCCCCAGATCTTCCCATTCTACCATCTGCAGGCCGCACAGCGGTTAGAATAGAGCAGAGAATCCCAGCCTCCCAAGGCACTGGTAACAGGAAGGAAGACCGGGTAAGAGACGTATTGGAACCAGTGTTTGTCTGACGTGGCTCTTCTCCTCTTGCCCACAGCACTGTGGAGAAGCTGAAGAACCTGCGTATGAATGTCAGCCAGCTCCTCTCGCTAGTCCTCCCTCATCTAGAGCTGCAGGATGTTAACTACGAGTCGGACCAAGTTGATGAGATTTTGCAAACAGTATTGGAGACTAACAGGATGTCAAAGTAGCCCATCTCCCATGCTGCCTTTTTGTATAGTTTCTTTAATAAACCCATAGATCTTAATCCTAGCTCAGGGTTTCATTTCCTTAGAATTGGGGCTTCCATTCCTTCTTCCTTTCTTGTGGCTCTGGAACCTCGTTGGTAGGGTCCTGTGGAGAACAGCATGGATAGTTCATCCCTCTGTTTTGTTTGAAGCCAGCCAGCTTCCAGGGAGATGGGTTCTCGGATGTTTTTGTCTCTTAAATGCTTTTCTTGGTTTATTTGTTAGAAAAATCTGACTCACCCCATTATTTAACTAGTGTTAATATTCCAAGTGGCTGAGGGAACCTCTTTTGGTGGCTCTCGGACACTGTCCTGGTGCCAGTTGGATTGCAAGGCTCTAGACTGATAGCGATGAGGTTCTGTGGCGCCCTTCAGCAGAGGGTGCTTTGTGAAAACTCCTCTTGTGGCCTAACCTTCCTTGCGAGAGTGTCCGGCACACCAGAAGCAAAGCCAGCATGGAAGCCTGCCTTTCGAGGGCAGGGAATGCAGAGATCATCTATCGCCCCTTGTAAGTAAAGCTAGCAAAACCAGACAGTGATGATCAGGGCCAGATAAGTACAGGGATCAGTCACCGACTGATTGGTTGGGAGGGGACAGGAGCTCCAGGGATTCTACTTCCCTAGAACGTGGAATTTCCAAAGGATATAAAACCCTTATAATGCCCCATTCACCTTCCTGCTTTGAAACAAACTCTCCCTTTCACCTGATCGCAAGTGGAAACAACCACTCCCATGTGTAAAGGTTGTGCAATTGCATTGGGTTAACTGGAGATTTGTCTTTTAAAAGAATTAGTCTTGATGTAAGAAACAAATGGCCTAATAGGTTATAGCAAATGTCTGTCACGGTTGTGTAGACGTAGATCAAGGAAGGGCCTGGTTAACTTCACTATGCCCATAGGCAATGCTGCTGGGGGCCTGCCAGCTCAATCCGCTTGAAAGCCTCCTGCCGTCAGGGCATCCAGAACAGTCTGGCAGACCAGTAGAGCAGGTCTTTCACCTGCCGTCCCGAATGGGGTCGCCGCCGGGTTCATTGTTCAGTTGTGGAGATTCCCCACCTAGACCTCGTTCCAATCAAAATCAACAGGAAACGTTATCGGTTTTCTTCCTGGAGCTCTCTTGGATGTTTTCCTGTTGCCCTGGATGGACAGGCTGCGATATGCTCCCTCCTATTCCACTCCTACCCAGAACGTTGTTACAAATCAAGCAGAGCCAGGCTCGTTTGGTGCTTCCGTGCTGTCAGACCAGGCTCCTTTGGTGCTACCGTGGGACCCAGATTCGATCTTTCAGAACCAGGGTCACCTCCTCCCTCCCAACCTAGAAGCCTTTCAGCTGACAGCCTGCATGCCTTGATAGTGACATCTTAGAAGATCTGTCCAAGGGGGGTGCAAGATATGCTTTTGAATAGTAGAAAACCTGTTTAGCAGGTATGTTTACTTGATGAAGTGGAAGCAATTCTTCATCTGGTCCTAACAGAAAGGGGTTTCCCTGATCTGGGTTTCAGGATATCTGTTGGACTGTTTGGGATGGCAAGGTTGAGCCATTAGCTCCATCAGGCTCCACCTGGTAGCTGTCTTTCCACCTTCCACTTGGTAATAGCTCTTTTTTTCCATTCCTATGTCAGAACCTGCATATGAATGTCAGCCAGCTCCTCTCGCTAGTCCTCCCTCATCTAGAGCTGCAGGATGTTAACTATCTGTTAACTGAGTTGGACCAAGTTGGTGAGATTTTGCAAACAGTCATCATGAAGGTTACCTTAAAAAACCTGATTTGACATGGGAATGGACAGTCGCTTCAGCTGGGAGAGCAGGTAAATTATGAGCTGTAGAGTCAAGCTCCATGTACAGTCTCCTAAAAGGACAAGATAGCACCTACAGCCTTATCTGAAGTTTCTCAACGATGAGGTTCTGACTTCCATGTCCATCAGGCAATATATTTGCCAACTTTCTTCCTGACCCCTCATTTTCATAAGGAGTGAGGAGAGACTGGACTAACTCAGGAGTTTTACTGTTACAGACAGGATGAAAAGACTTCCAATCTCGTGGATCTCTTCTTGCGTGTGTTTGAGCTACAACACAGCTAACGTAACTCCGAAAAGAGTGCTGGTGCATTCAACCCTGTGTCCAGGGTCTTATTCTGGACATTTTGTAGAGCTGCAGCTCAGTGTTCGCTGCTTGCCTTTGCCTCATGTTATGCTATCTCTCGGCAACCTAGAGATGATGCTAGATTTGGATGGTCTGTTCTTCTGCTAGACTCTAGTCCCACCTCTAGATCCAACTGCTTGTGCGTCCCCTGAAATGAAGTGCATGTGTGCAATCACTTGAAGAAACTGTTTCTCGCCTGTTCCATAACTACTGCTGTTTGAAATGCGGTGCACCTCTCTGTAGCAGTGTGTCCTATCAGAAGGAACTGAGGTGTAGTTTGAGGTGCCGATCAGAAGGAACTGAGGTGTAGTTTGAGGTGGCTCTACCCTTGATACCCTCACACATAGCATGAGGCAGCAGAGGGCATATGCACCATCACAGCAGGTTCCCAGAATCTCTTAACATTGTACTATGCCCGTGCACATTTAAAGTGAAATGGACATATGCAGCGTATGCTCGAGAACGTCAATATGGAACAAGTTAGTAACAGTTTCTTATCCCTGGATCTATTCGCTATCTTCTGTTTCTTTGTGTTTTCATTTTCCCTCCTAGTATCGCTAGGTCTGGATTCAAAGGTTGTATCCATTTCTGAAAGAACACCCCCAGGATCTGGTCTCTTGCTCTGTATCTGCCTGGTCTTTAGCAAGACTTGCCATTCACCAGCAGAAAAAATAACAAAAGTTACTATGGTTAAATAAAGCTTATTGTGGTTTTAAAAATAAATAAATCCATGAATGAATTTAGCTGACTAATCTTAATGTTATGCTTTGGAAACTGAAAACAGCTTTCCAGATATCTAGCCAATCATCCTGCCTCCGAGGAAACTTCAAGGTCTCTTCAGTGTTTTTTCTTTTTTTTAATTTTGCAGGTAATTAATTCCTTTACTAAGTACATTTCTACATCACAGAAGTTAAACTTCTCTTCACTCCTTTCTTCAGTAATACATTCTTTGCCATCACCCTTATGAATATTTGTAGGCCTGTTAATGAAAAGTAGATGTTAGTCTGCAAATCAGACTTATTTCTAAATTAAAGCTATCTCCCTTATCTTTCTAGAAGACCAGATCAACTTTATCTACTTGCTGTGTTGCCTTTTAAAAATCCCACTTTCTATTATGTTATTTTTCTGCTTAGTGCAATGAGTGCTTCCATAGAAAGAGCCCTGAGGAAATCAGAGCACCGACCTTTAATCTCCTCAGCTCCTTGGCTACCTTGACACGGTCTTATCTATTTTTGAAACTACGTAGTTCCCTGTTATAGCTTTGCAAAGCTCATTTACCAGCTCAGATACCAAAATATTCTTGTACCTCAATGATCATCAAAAAATTAATATTTAACTTGCTATCAAAAACTATCCATCTCAGGTGAGCAGGCAAGAAGAATATTGATAAGAATAAGAATTTTGACTGGTTTACCTTTACTGAAACTCTCCACTTTTCCCCCCTTTTTGAGCAATATGTAGATTGAAGTCTATTCCATTAGATGTACGGTTATGAAAAACAGATAGCAAATTCAGAATTTTGGAGACAGTTCCTCTCTCCTTATTTAATATTTACACTGAACAATTAGAATGCTTGAATTTCCTTACAATGTTTGTGTGCCCACATTACATTTTGTATTCTCTCAACCGCTTAACAGGAATCTTGGATGGGAGGGGAAGGCAGTTATTCAAAACAGGTCTGTAGGTTTGTCTCTTAAACAGATCTAATTTTACCCCAGATAAAACCGGAATAAACTGCATCATCTGCCCAGATCCTTTTTCAACTATGTCCAGTATTTTAGCCCTGGCTCCTTCTGAAGGTTAAATTATGTTGTGTCTTTTCATTTGGAACAATCACAGACCATTTTGCTTCCAAATATAAATAAAGCCACAGAGTAATTCTGTTCTCCTGCCAATTACACATAGCACCTGTTGGTTTACTAGTTTCTCCATTATGGAAATTTGTTTATTGTGAGCATAGATCCTGCACTGTTTTAAGTCCGTGGGAGTTCTGCCATTGATTTCCCTGAGTGCAGGACCAAGGCCTATGTACTTGGTGCGTTACAGGGATCTGTTAGAAGAGGTGGACTCGTCAGAAGTGTGGCTGTCCTCTGAAGAGGCTGGATAACAATGGCCCCTTCATGCTTGCTGCCCCTGTGTGTTTGGTCATAGCAGTTCTTTTGGCTGCATTGTTATTCATATATGCACTAGAGAGCTAAAACAGTTGTGAGATTCTCTGGGTTCACTTTTTGGCTCATATGTGAACAAGACTTGTTAACCTGTTTTTAATGGCAGACTCTATCGTTGACCCATGAGCTAAAATGAACTCATGGGGTGAATATGTGGTGCTGGGCACGTAAGAGGCGTTAGGGAGAACATAGTGTAGCTGGATTGTGTTACTTCTAGGCAATGGGGCATAATTGAAATCAAGGTATTTGTAAGCCCTGGGTTGTTAGCTTTCCAGCCCTGTGAGGATCTGTTTGAGAAATGCCTAACATCCTCTAAATCTGACCTATGATCAGAGTTGTTGACTCGAGTCCCACGACTTGAACTCGAGTCTGACTTAAGTCGCATAGGTAACTCGACTTGAGAATTGACTCGGGTTCATTGTTTGTGACTTGAGACTCGAGACTTGCTAATTTTGTTAAATCGACTTGGTGAAAAAATTGTCCGAAAATGCCAATATTGATGGCTTGTACAAAAGTGATGACATTTTTTAAATTAAGTCTTGGGACTTGACTCGAAAGTGACTTTAGCGACTCAAGACTCGACTTCAGACTTGAACTGTAGTGACTTGAGACTTGCCTTGGACTTCACAATGACAACTTGAAGACAACACTGCCTATGATACTCTTCTATCCATGGGAGGGAAGCCTTGGGACTAGTCTCCTTCTCTCGTCTACCTTTGACTCCTCATTCAGAGTTTGTGGTTCAGAGAGGCCTCCTTGCATGGATCTTAGAAGGAACAGAGGATTTATTTTTACATCTGTAGTGAGCCAGACGGGTAGGAGTGGTTCACAGTCAGGAGTGCCTACCCCAAGTTGGTGGCGTGTTCCATAATTAGATTTTGCGCAGCCGGTAACAAATGTGAACTCCAGGATCATTATAATAGTCGTATCATGTCGCCACAGTCTTTCCCCTTAGACTTTCCGGTCTGTTTTGTCACCCTGGCACGCTGAGCTTAGTGATCGCTTGAGCCACAAAATATTCAGGTTCCTTCCAGTCCCAAAAGACCAATCACTTACTCCAACCCTAGATCTTCCACGAAAGACCAGGCCTGTAGCCAGTCCTCTTTAAAAACAAAACAAAACGCACAACTCTATCTAAAGGCTTATGAAGTCGGGGATAATGAGTTGCTTATGTGTTAAAGCAAGCAGGCATCTACACACAAACGAGTTTTTATCTTAGATTGTAGAGAGCAGTCAATTCAAAACATCTTTCAGGGTAGACCTGTAACTCCTGGGGATCCCTGGCTTCAGCTGTGTGTGTCCTATGAGAGTTCAAACAGCAAGGAGATGACAAATTTTCCTGTCTTTGTTTTGTATTTCCTTATTCCAACCCGTGAGTCTATAGGATGAGCTTCCTTGCATGTGGCATTTCCATAGTGTGGTGGGACCATTCGTCAGTATGGCAGTGTTCCTTGATAGCTCATCTGATTTTGATCGGGCTTCTGGAGGAGCAGGAAGAAACACTCTCTTCCCATCTGAATTCACAGGTTTAGAGCAAATGTGTTTGAAGTTATAAAGCACAACATCCATGTTTCCTTAGCGTATGGAATACAGACATTACAAGCATGCTATCGACGCTAAACACTGCATTCTCATAAGCTTAGTTTGAGCAAAAGTCTAGTCTCCAGCTATGAATTTGCAAAAGCAACAAAGAGTCCTGTAGCACCTTATAGACTAACAGATGTCTTGGAGCATAAGCTTTCATGGGCAAAGACCCGCTTCATCAGATGCATGTAGTGGAAATTTCCAGAGGCAGGTATAAATATGCAGGCAAGAAATCAGGCTAGGTTAATTCAATTAGGGAGGATGAGGCCTGCTTCTAGCAGCTGATCTGGAGGTGTGAATACCAAGAGAGGAGAAACTGTTTTTGTAATTGGTTAGCCATTCACAGTCTTTGTTTAATCCTGAGCTGATGGTGTCAAATTTGCAGATGAACTGCAGCTCAGTTGACGAAGTGGGTCTTTGCCCACGAAAGCTTATACTCCAAGACATCTGTTAGTCTATAAGGTGCTACAGGACTCTGTCACTTTTGCAGATCCAGACTAACACGGCTACCCCTTTGAGCTATGAATTTGTGAGTTCTTAGCTATTGCTTGCAGCCTTGGCAAGAGCTGGCACTTCCCTGTAAGCGTTACAAGCACTATCTACTATGACCAAGGCTATTTACCAGTGACGCTAAAATATAGGTGGTTTTGGGGGGCATAGAGGGCAGGGAGAGCGTGCCAACCAGGAAACCTATAATTAATGGGCAGGGTTAAGGCTTATCAGTGTCTAACCCCTGCTCCCCAGCCCCAACCTCTTGCATGTTCAATATCTTCTGTGCACCATTGCAATGAACTTAAGGAACCCAGAAAAAGTGGAAAATCCAAGGCTAAGATCAGCAATATTTGCACAGTAAAGAGATTACGTAAAGCTGCAGAAAAACGACTTACCGGCTGTTATATTGAAGACGCATTTAAGAAAACATGGATCCAGTGACATTTAAGGCTTTACCTGTTTTATCTCTTCACTGACATACAAAATCCTCTGGCTGAGTCTGAACTAGGGTAATTAATCCAATTCCTCTCAACCTAGGATGCTTAAGTAGCACCTTCCCCCCCAAAACAGGAAATCTTACAAACGTGGGGTCAGCTAATGGCAATTTCTCCAACCCATTGGGAACTACTGGAGACTTTATGAAAGGTACCTGGAGTCCTGGAACTCTTCACTGGTCACATGATGAGCAGTGACGGTTCCTTTAAGATTTCAGGCACAGTTAGCCAGCTGTTAGGTGTTTATCCCAGTTAGGAATTCCAGGGTTAAGTTACTTGAAAACTTAGTTCACAAGCTGACGGGGATGACTCCCCCTTGGACTGACTGAGAAATCGCTGTTGCTGTCCCACTACCCACCAGAAATAGTCCCTTAGCTTTCCTCTCTGCTCTGCCAAGAAAGGGGCTGGTTTAATGAAGCTGTCCCTGCAGCAACTGTTTGCTGTCTCTCTTTTCCAGCAATGATACAGCAAGGTACCTAATCACGTTAAGAATCCCCACAGGGTAAGTCATCTGTATTGCTAGCATCTCTGAGACCTCCTTGGGTGGGAGGGAGGCTTAATGGGAAATTAGAGCACTTGGTAACAACCTCCAGCCCGTAGTGTGTGGAAGCTTTGGTCCAGTCTTCACTGATTCTGAGGAGTCCACCAAAAGTCTCATAAGAAAACAAAAAACCCAAGCGTGAGCTTTCTCTGGAGTGCTGCATGCTGCAGGTTCTGAATCAGAATTCCTTCTGCTTCCGGGGTCTGTTGATCTTTGAGGAATGAGTCTGTCTAGATCTCCTTTTCTTTTACTGCTCCATTGTTTTATTAGAGATTGATGTGAACCTTGCGAAGGTGCAGTGGCACATTTCTCTAGCCCTCCAGTTCCTTCCCGTTTTCCTGAGGCTGGGTCTATGCTAGAAACTTCTGTCAAAAGAGCCAACATCAAGCGTGTGTACAACAGTCAGCTGACATCTATGCTACTGCAGAAAATTAACCTAAAGTACACAACTCCAGCTGTGTGAATTGCTGGTATTGACATGCCTGAGGGGTCTAAACTATGGGGGGTTGATGGGAGAAACTCCCATTGACTTACCTTACTCTTCTCAACAAGGGTAGAATTCATGGGTTAGCTGCAGAGCTAGCTGCAGTCAATTTGGCCCAGGGTAAGCAGATGGGCATCCCTGGCTTATGCCTAGTATTCTGGTCCTATGAGCCCAAGTAGCGGTGAGATCTAGTTCCTGCTGTAGGCATTTTTATTCCCTTTCCCCTTCTGCTTTGAGTGGCAAACTCAGCTGATGGGAGGAGTCCACTTGCCAGACTCATCCTCATGGGCGTGGGAGAGTAAGCAGCAAAGTCTTGTCCTTTTTAATGTTTCCCGTATCTGGTGTCGGAGGGCTTTCTGTATTGGGTAGGGCCTAACACCTTCTGTCTGAGCCCAGCACTCCGCATTGGTCAGTGTCTCTCTCCTGCCTGGTGACTTGGTGAGAGAGGCTTATAAGGTGACTGCTCAAAGATCGCCTTACACGAGGGGCTAGAGCTGCCTTGCTAAGCCAGAGTAATGCCTGCAGCAGCTTACACGCATTCAATGACGTCTAA